GAAAGTCTCAGGCGGGAGCCCCGTTCTTTTCTCGAACGTCCTTTGAAACCCGAGGCGGCCATCCTCAATCAAGCTTGCAAGCGTCGGCAAGGAAAGGACCAGCAGATACCAGATGGGAAGAGAACCTCCGCAGTCACAAGGACGACGATGAGGACTGCTTCCAGAACAGTCTGGAATATTACCATGCGGGCTCATACAGCCGGAGTAACGATTACTACGGTGTCCCATTAGATCCTTCTGGCTAAGGTATGGCCCCTGGCAGGTGGTGCTGTGGTGGTTCAGAAGTGGGCGTGGCGTGGTGCTGCGCTGCGGTGCCCCCCTCCCCCCCCCCTGTGGATGTGGTGTGGTGCTGTGGTGGTTCAGAGGTCGTCGTCGTCGTCGTCGTCGTCGTCCTCGTCGTCCTCGTCGTCGTCCTCGTCGTCCTCGTCGTCCTCGTCGTCGTCGTCGTCATTTTGTCGTCGTCGTCGTCGTCATCGTCGTCGTCGCCGTCGTCATCGTCGTCATCGTCGTCGTCGCCGCCGCCGGCGTCGTCGCCGCCGCAGCCGTCGTCGTCGTCGTCGTGGTCGTCGTCGTCGTCGCCGTCGTCGTAGTCGTCGCCGTCATCGCCGTCGTCGTCGTCGTCGTCGTCGTCGTCGTCGTCGTCGTCGTCGTCGTCGTCGTCGTCGTCGTCGTCGTCGTCGTCATCTCTGGGACCATACCATCTGGGGGGGGGGGGCGTGAACCCGCGACCCTGGATCATATATCCCCAACCAGGGCGGTAAAATGGTGGGGCTCGGGATAGGAATGGTGATACAGTCGAGTTCGGTTGGAGAGGACACGCGAGAGGACACAGGACCGAGGGCCACATTGCCATTGGAAGGTAAAAAACATGGGTCGCTAAACGCAGGATATAAAGGGCACCCTTGATTCGGCAGGGTCGACGTACCAATCCAACTCGACTGTGGGGATCGGCCAAGCGATCCTGAGATCTGGGGAGACCCACGCAGGGACCAGAAGAGGAAAAAACACTACAAACGTGAACTTTGGGCGCTCCGCGCGGATTTCTTGGATCCGCGCTGGACCCCCCTCCCTGGCGCGCGGAGCGCGCCAGGGGCGGCGGCGGAGGCGCCGCGGGGGGGGGGGGCCCAGCTCGGATCCAAGAAATCCGCGCGGAGCGCCAAAAGTTCATGTTCACAGCGCCTTTCCTGCTTCGAGGGAGGGGCCACCCCGTCCGACCACGTCCCCGTGGGGCAGCCTCTCGCCGCGGATCCGCTCCCGATGGCCCCCTGGGGCCCAGCGGCGGGCCCGGTGAGGCCGAGGCCGGGGGTGCACCCTGACGCGTCGATGAGTATCCCTGAGATCCGACGTAGCGAAAAGAAAAATATCATAAAAATCCGCGCCCGGAGCCCCAGACCCCATCTTTCTGCGTCATTTTTCGAGCCGGATCGATCTGTGAGGGTCTCCGGACTCGAAAAAAGGCGGAAACGCCCGGCTCGAAAAAATTGAGTCGCCAGGATCTCAGGGTTGTCTGTTCTCAGTTCTCCAGAGGACGCCGCGGCCGTCATCTGCCAGGCTTGCGCCCGCCAGAGTAGGGGCCCGAGGTCGTTTTCACGAAACCACGCTTTGCTAAAGGGGGTTCTGTCCATCCCCGATCGCCGGGGATCTGGCAAGGGCCCACATAGGGCCAACCACGCCCGAACAACCCATCGGTCGAGACCGCGTCGTCTGCACTGGCCGACATCGCGTCGAAGAGGAGAGCCCCCGAGATCGAGGCCGCGACGCCCAGATGGGAAAAATCCTGTCGCCAGAGATCTCGCAATGGCGCGCCCTGGGCCCCTATCGACGACCAATGGGCGATATGTGGGGTCCCTTTTCATCCCCCCAATTATGTCTATATCCCTGAGCTTGCTCCCTGCTCTTGCTCCCTATATCCCTATACACCCCCAATCGTTGCCCCTGATCGTTGCCCGGGATGGGTTTTTACCAAGAATAATTGTTTGACGGTCCTAGGACCCAGCGAGGGCCTCCGAAGGCCGAAAATGGCCAAAACGTCCCGTTGTGATGTCTTCACGACGCGATCATGTCTGGGCTCATCCTCCCCCCTCTCGCTGCCCCTGATCTTGCTCCTTGACTCCTTTGACTCCCGGCACAGGCCGCCAACGCCGCGCGAAGCCCTCCGCAGCGAAGCCCTCCTCCTCCTCCTCCTCCTCCTCCTCCTCCTCCTCCTCCTCCTCCTCCTCCTCCTCTCCTCGTCCTCCCTCCTCCCCTCCTCCTCCTCCTCCTCCTCCTCCCTCCTCTCCTCCCTCCCCCCCATCCTCCTCATCCATCCCTCCTCCTCCTCCTCCTCCTCCTCCTCCTCCTCCTCCTCCGCCTCCTCCTCCTCATCCTCTCCTCCTCCTCCTCCTCTCCTCCTCCTCCTCCCTCCTCCTCCTCCTCCTCCCTCCTCCTCCTCCTCCTCCTCCTCCTCCTCCTCCTCCTCCTCCTCCTCCTCCTCCTCCTCCCGTCGTTCCCCTATCCCCCC